ATGACTTTATTTTCACAAAGTGATGTACACAGCTACAGATTTACAAAAGTATAAATCATGACTTTTCCCGAATGTATCTCTCGTCAGTGTCGCACACAAAGGTGAAAGACAGATTGATCAATCTTTGTTAATTCTTTAATATTCCATAAAAACACTGTATTAAACATAGAGGCACATATATCGTAGATCCAAATATCGATCCGACGCCCATCCCGCCCGCCTTCTGAGTACTATCCCCGCCCGCCGCCCAGCTTCTCCGACGCGGCGCGCATCTGGCAACTCTGCCCGCCCGTGTAGTCACTGTGGCCAGACACGGCGGACACCTTGCACGGACACACGGCCGCGCCCTTGTCCGCCGCGTGTCTGCTGAGGGAGGAGCAGGTGCGGTGGCCGCAGGGGGGCAGCGGCGCGACGGCGGCCGGCTGCGCCAGCTGCGTGTTGAGTCCGGCCGGCGTCAGGTAGGACACCGTCGACGCCGACAGGCTGCGGCGGGGGATGCCGTAGGCGCTGAGCCGCTCCTCGCTCTGCAGCGCCACCGTCACGCACGCCCTGCACGCACTCCGCGCCGTGGAGCGGCCGCCCGAGGGGCTCTCCTCGAAGCCCGCGGGGGGAGGGATCTGCGCGCAGTAGCACCCGGGGGGGCTACCTCTGATCCCCAGCGCGGTCTCGACGCCCGAGGGCGCCTTGTTCCTCTTGAGGGAGGAGTGGAAGGTCTCGCGGCCCTTGGCGTCCGCCGGGTCGCCGTGGAGGTTGTTCACGAAGATGGTCGGCACCCGCAGCCGCGGCAGCGAGTGGCACTTGCTGGCGACGGCCGCCGGCTGGTAGAGCAGCTCCGCCTCGGCGCCGCCGCTGTGGAGGCCGATCTCCAGCGTGTCCGCCTTCGACATGGAGATGCTCATGCTCTTCTTGGCGATGGCCTCGCCGGCGCCGCCCTTGTCCGCCTTCTTGGCCGCGAAGAGCAGCTGCGGCGCCGAGGGGCTGCCGCCGGAGACGCCCTTCGCCGCCTCGCCGAAGGAGGAGGGCGCCGGCGCCTTCTTGCCCGGCTGCGCGAGGGCGGCGCCGGTGTGGGACGGAGAGCCGCCCTCGGGTTGCCCTCCCAGGCAGCTCAGCAAGGTCGCGACGTCCTGGAAGCCTCCGAGGAGACGCGCCTCGCCGCCTCCGTCGCCGCCTGGACCGAGGAAGGACATTTCCAGCGTTAGAAATAGCACACACACACGAACACGCACACACACGACACACACACACACACACACACACACACAACGCACACACACACACACACACACACACACACACCCCCCACACACACACACGCACACACACACGCCAACACACGCCCCCCCCACACACACACACGCCACACACACGCCCCCACACACACACACACACACACACACACGCCCCTCACGCATGCACAGAGGTTCTCAGCATATCACGTTGATCTTCTCCGCACCTTCAGCAGGGCTTCAGATGCCTCAGACAATAATTAGCCTAATTAACTCAAGTCCTTCGGAGATTTCATTTGTCCATCTTTATAATCTCTCTCTGGAATGAAGGATTTTAATCATTATATATATACCGTTTAATATAACAATATTCAGCCAATTTATCCTGCATGCACTTCTTAATTATACAAATAATTATAGATTAGACAGCACCAATGATCATTAGCCAGTCATTACTGGGCAACTGTGCTTGTAATCTCTCTTCTTGATTAATAAATTATTCAAGAAAAATGTGTCGTTTGATGTTTAGTGATGTCATTACATCCTACACGTTATAATGGATGGTTCTTAGTGTCCTCACTCTCCCTCTCCCTCTCATTCTCTTTACTCTCTCTCTCTCTCTCTATCTATCTATCTATCTATCTATCTATCTATCATCCTTTCCTCTCTGCTCTTCCTCTGTCTCTTCATCTAATTCTTCTTCTTCCTCTCCTCTAATCTCTCTCTCTCTCTTCTCTTCTCTCTTCTCTCTCTCTCTCTTCTCTCTCTCTCTCTCTCTCTCTCTCTCTCTCTCTCTCTCTCTCTTCTCTTTTCTCCGTCTTCCTCTTCCTCTCCATTTTTCCTTACTTTCATTTCCTTCTCTTGCTCTTCCTCTGTCTCTTCCTCTCTCTCTCTCTCTCTCTCTCTCTCTCTCTCTCTGTCTCTTCTTCTTCTCCTTTTAGTCTTTCTTCTTCCTCTCGCTCTTAAAAATCACCCATCCACCTATATCTATATCTATTTATCTATCTATATCTATATCTCTCTATCTATTTTTCCATTTCCTATCTATCTATTTACCTACCTATCCATCTATCTATACATTAATAACAAAAAAAATGAAACAAAACCACAACACACTAGCAAAGCAAAAATAAATCAATAAAATAAATAAATCAACACCAGCAAGAACCCCCCCCCCCCCAAAAAAAAAGATAATAATAAAAATAAAAAAAAACTAGCAAGGCAAAAAAAAAAAAAAAACCCCTCCCCCCAAAAAAATAATAAATAAATAAAAATAAAAAAAAACACTAGCAAGGCAAAAAAAAAAAAAAAAAAATCCCCCCTCCCCCCCAACCTCCCCTTACCGGAGCAGCAGGAGGACAGCGACCCGGGCGAGCTCCCTTCCCCCTCGTAGGCGTAGTTGCGGAGATCGTCGAGGGAGGGGAGGTGGGGGCAGCCGCACCCTCCCTCCGCCCCGCCCTCGCCTCCCTTCGTGGGCGGGCCATCGTGTCTGAGGACGTCAACGCCTGTCACATACGGGCGGGAAGAGGGGCGGTGTTCGTTATTATTGCTATTTTTTATTTCTTCTTTACTGTTATTTTTTTATTTCTTCTTAATGTTTTTTTTTTTTTTTTTTTTTTTTTTTTTTTTTTTTTTTTTTTTTTTTTTTTTTTTTTTAGTCTATCGGATTTATTGTGTAAAGAAAGAGTCATTGATCTAATGAATTATCTTTCATCCATGGATATTTGGATATGAAAAGACGGGGAAACGAAAGAAAATGGAAATTATATATACCATGACAGAGGTGCATCAAAATTACTAGCTAACTAGTCTTTAAGTACCATGATAGCAAAATAATTGTCAAATCTAAGTTACTAACCAGCGACCTTTTACTACCATGATAGAAAAATAGAAAAATAGCCATCAAATCTAAGTAATTAATTGGCGATCTTTAATTACCATGATGGTAAATAGTCGTCACATCTGAGCAACTAACCGGCGATCTTTTACGACCATGATAACAAATTGGTCGTTGAATCTAAGTGATTAACCGCCGATCTTTGAATACCATGATAGCAAAATAGTCAAATTTCAGCAACTAGCCGACGATCTTTTACGACCATGATAGCAAAATAGCCATCAGATTTAAAGAAACGACAATCTTTGAGGACCATGACAGGAAAATAGCCATCAAAACCGAAAAATAGCCTGGGATCCTTAACAACCATGATAGCAAAATAGTCGCCAACCATAATTTACTAACAGGCGATCTTTTTCTACCATGATAGCATAATACTCGTAGTCCTCAAATCTAAGTGATTAACTACTAATCTTTGAATACCATGAGAGCAAAATAGTCATCAGATCTAACTAACCGACGAAAATAGCCATCAAAACTCCGAAACTAGCTGGCGATTGTTAACGACCATGATAGCAAAATAGTCATCAAATCTAAGTAACCTGCGATCTTTTACTACCATGATAGAAATATACTCGTAGTTGTCAAATGTAAGTGATCAACCGCCGATCTCTGAGTGCCATGAGAGAAAATAGCCATCAAATCTAAGTAATTAATCGGAAATCTTTAACTGCCATGATAGAAAAATAGTCATCAAATCTAAGTCCCGACGATCATTGAGTACCATGACAGCCATCAAAATTCCGAAACCAGCCGGCGATTGTTAACTACCATTATAGCAAAATAGCCATCAAATCTGAGCAACTAACCGGCGATCATTGAGTACCATGACAGCCATCAAAATTCCGAAACTAGTTGGCGATCTTTTACTACCATGACAGCAAAAGAGTCGTCAATTCTGAGCAACTAAAAAGACGATCTTAAACAACCACGACAGCAAAACAGTTGTCCCAAGCGCGAGACTCACCGGGGATATTTTACTACCACGACAGCAAAAGAGTCGTCAAATCTGAGCAACTAACGATCATTGAGTACCGTGACAACCATCAAAACCGAAACCAGCCGGCGATTGTAAACTCCCATTATAGCAAAATAGCCATCAAATCTGAGCAACAAAACGACGATAAACAACCACGACAGCAAAGCAGTCGTCTAAGAGCTAGACTCACCGACGATTTTAACTACCATGACAGCAAAAGAGTCGTCAATTCTGAGCAACTAAACGACGATCATTGAGTACCATGACAGCCATCAAAATTCCGAAACTACCAGGCGATTGTTAACTACCATTATAGCAAAATAGCCATCAATTCTGAGCAACAAAAAGACGATCTAGTTGGCGAACTTTTACTACCATGATAACAAAATTAGCCATCAATTCTGAGCAACAAAACGACGATCTAGTTGGCGAACTTTTACTACCATGATAGCAAATTACAATTACGATCTAGAACTTTTACTACCATGATAGCAAATTAGTCGTCAATTCTGAGCAACTAACCGTCGATCTTAAACAACCACGACAGCAAAGCAATCGTCCCAGGAGCGAGACTCACCGGCGATCTTCTCGTTCCCGTTCTTGGAGCGCTCGCCCGCGAATCGGAGGTCCTTCGCCAGGTGGAGCTCTATGACGTCGGCGGAGAAGTCGTGCTCGCCGTCGTGGAGGCTGTCGTCCTGGGTCGTCTTCTCCACGAACGAGGACTCGGCGCTCGCCTTCTTCGAGAGAGAGCGCTTCTGACGGCGGCGACGGTGCACGAGGTAGGCCGCGAGCACCACCGCTGCGGGGAGGAAGAGGGCGGGTGAGGGAGGGAGGGAGGGCGGTGAGGAGGGCGAGGTTGGCTTGTTTAGTGTGTGTTGTGTGTGTGTGTGTGTGTGTG